TCGAGGGGGGGAGCAAGGAAACCAAGAAAAGAGATTCCAATTTCAACAAGTGCCCACAGCTGCTTGTATTTGCTCACATAACCTCAAAGGCAGAGGTGCCTGCGAACACTCCTGAACTTCAGTTTGCATGTGGGAGTACAATACAAAAGACCTTGCATACATATTCACACTGTACACAGTAGCAATGCAGTGCTCACAAGCTGTTTTAGTTAACTATGTTTGTATTCTCCTTCTGCCTGCGGATACCAGTGTAAGGCTTTCAGCCATTATAGGCTATTTTTCCAGGCCCACTTTAAGTTGAATCAGAAAAAGAAGATTTTTCTTGTGGTAGAAGTTGTAAGCAGCAAGAGTCAGTGTGAAAGGCAGGATTTAGTCCCAGCGTTATGGCTGTGTGTTTGAGGGAGATCCACAGCCAGTGGAAGTTAAGGGAAGGACTCCAAGCAAATGGGATCAGAAGAAAAATGTAAGACAGAGAAGGTGAGAGGGAAAAAGTGGGACATCAGAAGAGCAGAAGACTGTTTCCTGGCCTGAGAAAGACTTACTGTTAAATGACAGGCAGGGCTTGAAGGTCCAGGACGTCAAAGGTGCTTAGAAGCCTCAAACCCATTTTCCTCGGCGGCTCCAGGTCCTTTGGCCTTTTCTAACTCAGTTGCCTTGCTTGTTGAAGAGGATGCTAACATGTAGCTTCGGAGGGTTTGCAAAGCTAAGTTCACTGAGGTTTGCATGGGAAATGTGGGAGGAGATTCTTAAAGATGTTAAACAAGGGAAAAAAAGGAAAACATGAGACGGTTTGCCCTTGTAACATTCAAAGCAGGCACCGGAGAAAGCATTCAGTGGAGTTACAACACAGAAGTCCTTTAGCCACAGAGCCATAACTTCACCAGAACAAAAAACAGCTGAAGCACCTGGACATCCCCTTTGTTCTGAACCAGCAGTACAGGCTGTACAGGGACATGGCAGTAATTTAAAAGCTCGTTTTCTGCATCCAAACATCATGTCAGGATGAAATGCAATCCATCCTGCTATCATTTAACAAGCACCCCTGAGACCACTGTACCTTGGAGGCATGATGTCACATGTCAGCGGAGAGATTATTTGTTTTGAAGCTTGTGAATAGCTCTGAGACTTCATTTCAAAGTGCTCCACGCAGAGTCATGACTCAAACCCTTCTGGTCTCACAGAAGGGCACAACTGACTACAGTTTCACTGTGCTGTTTCTAAGCATCCTGTAAGGCATTAGTAGATATTTAATTTTATTATCCTTTCTTCTCTTTTATGTAGGAATGGCTTTGTCATTGCTTCAATTCCTTCATGTTCATGACACATTTTCTTAAGTGTCATATCAATGATGTCTCTACTGAGACAAGCAGAGGCAGCCACAGCAAACAGCACTGCAACAAAAACCAAGGCATTCATTCCATTTCAGGTGATTTTTAATTTATATATAGCCGTAGGGAAAACCATAGTATGAAAGCCATCTTCAGACCTGTGACAAGGTAGCTGTGCATGACACCTGTCTGGTTTCTCCTTTTGTAAGAATAAGCAATTCTTACTCAGAATTTTATACCCATCCCTTGAAGGGACCAACATATTCATCTAGGGCAATTTGCCGAGGAGCCAACATTTGTTTTACCAGATCATAATAGTTCATCCTCACCTGGAAGCAACTAAAGTGATACCCAGGTTTAGCAGCAGTATTACCTGACTGAAAATACGCAGCATGGAAAATAGAGCCAGTCATTCTGAATGGGTCATTTAATGCTGAATTGCTGAACCTTACTCAATTTTAAAACACACAACTTCAAGATTAAAACCCCAGAGGTGCATAAAGGACCTCTCCTTCATCATGCCTACATTGGAATTTACTCTTATATTAGAATTAAAGCAAGAACAAATTAAAAGTGCAGACACTGTGTAAGACTGACAGCCTGTCTGAAATTGCAAGTAACTTCAATCATACTCTTTCAGTTTATTCCAGTGTTCTCCCTTCCATGGTGAAGGACCATCAGTAAAACCATGGTTTCTGTCCTAAGCAGAGCTCCATCGCTGAGTGACAGTTCAAAAAGCATGGGAAGAGATACTAAATGGGAAAGGCTTCAGAGCACAAGGCATGTGAGGTTGCTATGTAATCTTGGAGAAGACAGGAAGGGGATCTGGAATGGCTGAAGAATTTGCAGGGGGATCCAAAGACATCTGGATCCTGGAGTGATGAATATCACATTAGAGCTATTACTGCCCCACAGCAAGGCCCTTCCTGCTGCATGGGCAGCAGCCTGGAATCGCCCCCACTGAACCTGCACAGGCTCACACTGCACAGAAGGCTTGAGAGGTATAGCTGGCAGAGAGAAGCTCAGTGGGAAGAGATCTTAGGTGAGGATCAGGCATGGTGGTTCCAGACTTTAATTATAATCTGTCCCTGGCAACAGCGAAATTTAGATGGAGAACAGAATGAACAGAGCTGCATTCAGTAGCTGCAAATCAGTGTTTTATGTTAAGTGAAATTATTGTACACCAATATGGATGTAAATCTGGCTGATACAGAGGGTTGATTAGCACAGCTCCACACTCCAAGTAATGGCATTAAAGATGCAGTGTGAATTTCAGGGAATTAATCATATTGATCACATCTTTTCAATGATGATGCATCAGGCATTTTTATAGCAGATTAAATTAACTGCCTTTACCATTCAATTAATATAACCCAGAATATTAACTATGCTTATGAAGAAATAGTGTTACCCCCTTCCTGCAGGCATTCTTTGGGCCCATATGCTGTTACTTTTCCTCTCCTATGCTCATTGCAGCAGGTAAGTGGAGGAGATATTGATGGTGTGATGCAGCTTCCCTCTAATGGAGCCAGAGTAGCTTTTCCTTGAACTGGGCACAGGAGCCTGCATGCAATAGAAGAGATTAACACCAGGTGGCAAATAACAGCTGATTACA